CCGGTGTAATTTTTCTCTGAACGGTTATCAAATTTCTACCCGGAAACACCCAAGACTCTAACTTTAAGTAAGCAACATTAATTTTGTCTAATTTTCATGTTCATAACTTAAAAATTTGATTAGTAGATCACAGATCCACTAACAGTTGTATAATTGCACTGTAGTCTTTGCCGATGTTCTTAACTGTACCTGGATTTCAAAAACTTCTTAACTTTAACATTTTAGGTCTAATTATGACTTGTTAGTCATATATTGGTCTTTATTTCTATTTTCTCATGTTTTTCCCGTTCCGGAATTCTACCGGCTGCTGCTACAGTAGTACAAAATATCTGATAAAAGTGACTTTTCAGAAATCCCCCAATATGGGTATCAATCTTCACCATTTCATATACTAACCTCATTCATGATGTTTATATCATTAGATTAGCTCTCTAACTATAATTTGCTAACTTGGAGCTATTCTACTGACTGTTACTGCGTCAACAGTCAAAATTAACATATGAAAATTCATCTGTGCATAATACCCTCAATATGGGTATTAAAATTCTTAGAATTTCATCCTCATTTCATTTATGACCATAAGGTCCTCATCATAACCCTCTAATTTAAAAATATATAATTAGGATTATTATATTCCACACATAATTTAAGTTATGATTACAATTATTGGAATTGTTTTAATTACGGAATTGATTTTAAACAGAAACAATTATAAATAAAAAGGAAAAAGTTTATATGTACTTTAATTTAATTGCTGTGATTATAACTGCGCTTAATGCCATACGTAATGTTAATAAACCGATTCTAGAATGAGGTGTTACAAGAAGGAGTTCTCACACGCAGTTGAAAGTCTATAGTGTGGATCCCCTATAAAGGCATTATACACATTGGTGCTTTTAAGTGTTCATAAGGGTATGTTTGGTGAACAATATAAAATAAGGCCTGATAATATAAGACCTATTGTATAATACTTGATTAAATTTTAATATTATCCAGCGTTTGACATGCATTGTATAAGATAATATATTGTATAAAATAATATCATCTAGTGTTTGATAATGCACTGTATAATACTAGATAGGATAAAAAATATTTTTAACAAAAGTAATATAGAATTAATATAATTATTCCAAGAGGAAGGTTATACTTACAACCTATTTTAGTTTACAATCTCTTACAACCATATCTTAACCGTTGATTTTCGCCAATCAACGGTTATCATTTATTGCGAATTAATAATTAATTAATGAGTTTGATTTGCGAAAATAATAATCGTTGATTGATGTAAATCAACAGTTAAGATATCGTTGTAAGATGTTGTAAATGAAAATAGGTTATAAGTATAACCTTCCTCTTATTCTAAATATGTTATAAGATATTAACTTTTATAAAAATTTATTGATCAATGTGTCCAAAATATATTAATTTTTATAAAAAAAATCTTCAATATTTTAAAAATTAATATATTAGTTTTTTTATTTTAATATATTAATATTGAAATAATATATTAATTCTTAAGAATTGCACTGGTAACCAATGTTCATACATCAACCCTTTATTAAGCCTAATCCTACCTTCTTAGGCTTGATTAAGTTATACATCATTTTGATGTATTAAGGGATTCTGCTGTATAAGCATAGATTATACGATAGTCACACCAAACAACTAAAAATGTCATAACGCATAATATAAGCTTATACTATCAAGTCTTATACATCATACCAAACAAGCACTAAATGTAACACCCTGTTCTAGAACCGGTTTGTTATCATTACTTTATGATATTAAGCGCAATTACAATCACATTGGTTCAATTAAGAATATGGATAAATTTTTCTTTTTAAAACATTGCTCATTTCCTTTATTAACAAGATCGTAAATTAATCTACCAATTTCGTGATTATAACCATATGAAGTTACGGAATAACTAAAACCATGCTTAACATCATTTACTATCTTTATTTGACCTAATTAGAGGGTCCCTATTACTTATTTCAAGAGAAAATAGCTTTTTCTAAAAACTGGGGTTGGGGGCTTAAGCCCCCATTTTGGGCGCTTAAGCCCCCTACGTGCGCTTAAGCTCCCAACTTGGGCGCTTAAGCCCCCTGCGGCAGAGAGTTTCTCCACCCACAGGTGCACCAGGGCGCTTAAGCCCCCTAAGCGAGCTTAAGCCTCCATTTTCGGAGCTTAAGCCCCCCCACCAGGGCAAAACACTAAATCTTTATTTTCATGTATTTCTCTTGGGGAATTAAATTCCACACACCTTAAGACCTAATTGACAATCTTACAACATCAATGTTTCAATAATTACATCTTCTACACCATTTTAATGTGCAAATCAAAATGACAAGACATAACATCACATCCCATTGATATATCAATATCCTAATTACATCCATGTTCTTCAAAATAAATACATGCCAAAAGACTTAGCTATCAAAAGACATGATTTAAGCTATTAACCATATACAAGAATGCAATTACTACAACAATGATCATGGACTAAGTCCTCCATACTACATCACATGGCCTCAAAATATACATGTACAAGGAATGATATAAATGGCAAATGCATCTAACAATCCTAAATTGCATGCAATCCAAAACATCAGGCTATCAACATATGACATCTAGTTCAAGTACGACCACTTGTCATCTGAGACTCCTGCAATATTTGTACCTGAAAGGGGATCCCCACAACACGGGTTGGGATATACGAATATATCGCCGTAAACCAGGGGTCCTTGGAGCATCTCTCCACCCCATAGTTCACTCATAGTGTAATAGCAATAACAATAAATAATGCAATAAATACATATCCATGCAGTGTGTAACAAATATCTCTAGAAGACATCCCTCGAGCTCTCATGCCATCCTAAGGACACTCAGATGCAAATAGTCATTCTGGCCAGCTAAACTACCAAGTATGAATTACACATCGTCATGCAGCATACTAAATATAGGGAAACACTATCCTGTGCCACACCAAATGCATACACATTCGTATAACAAAGCATTAAAAACTATCTTATTGCATTTACATACGCTAGCAACAATCACTACCCATTTCAGGCTTGGTGGAACAACAAAGGGATCAATTCCCAAGGTCCGAAGACTTACCTCAATTTTCTTTCAACTCAACCTTTGTTCACCAACAAGTTTGCAACCAATCAAACTTTAAATTCAAGTCACAATTTTACCAAATTCACACTAACACTTGGTTCACTCAAACAACCAAGTCAAGTTCCATTGATTCTACCGGTTCTTGGTCAATCAAAGGAGATCCACTTGCTTCAATCCTATCCACAACATGGACATAATCAATCACCCAGTCAATCAATGGCTTGGAATGTAAAGAAAATCACAAACCAAGCTTGAATTTTTTGAAAATATCATAGTGTGCCCAAATGACGATCTACACTCATTTCTACCGATTAAATCATCATCTAAATAATTTTTCCAAAGGAATTAAGCCTCAATCAATCTCTAGACTACCCCACCATACATGAACATTCATGAAACAGAACCCTAATATACCCAACATCCCAAAACTCAAGGAAAGTGGGATATTATACTTAACCAATCAATGGGTCAATCCAAGTCCACCAATCTCAAGTTAGGGCACCATTGTCCTCTCCCATTTTCTCTCAATGAAAGGATTTTTGGTAGATTATGGATTAGGGGTTGTGTTTGCCTTTCAATTCTAAGCAAAATTGATTCAAGAACCAAATGATTTGGTTGAGAGATGAAGAAGTTACAAAATAGAGCTTTTCTCCAATGGCTATTGACTTCTCTCTCTGTTTGACGAAGGGGATGAAGCAAATGTAAAGGAATTGCTTTGTTAAAAGACTTAGCTTTACTTGTGTAACTTTCAATCGGGTAAAAACTTATCTACCTATTCACTTCCATTCACTACTAAACTTTACCCAATGGACTAGAATATTTTTCTAGTAATATTTTTAGCCTTACTTTTATATTTTGGATACTTTTGTCTACACATATTTTTACCTAATAATTTTCATTGACTGCACTTTTTACCTCAAAAAGTGACCCTAATTCATTTAATTAAATATTTTACTTCTTTCAACCCACTAATACATGTTTAATTACTTAATTATATGTAAATTACTAGTTAATTAGGCTAGGTATATTATACTAAAGGTAAGAATCCTAAACCCTTATGTGTTTATAATGGGTAAATCCTAGGCCAAACACATGAGTAAAAGAGTTTACGTTTCCACGATAAAAGCAAAAGTTTTTTTTTTCACCATCATTTGTATGCTCCTTTATGCAATAAACGTGCTGCCTTTTCAACTTTTAATTTCTCCACCGATTCATCAATTGCTCGATTAATTTGGTCGAACCACACAAAATTAGAAAAATTAAAATTTTTTATTGGAGATTTCTCTAGTGGTATATTAATTAATCAATTAATTCAATTGAACTGGACATAACCAGAAGACTAGCAAAACTCTCCGTATCATGCATATGCTTGGTGGTAAATAAAGTAAAATTTAGACAACCTAACTAACCAATTTCTATTTAAAACTTTCTTTTTAATATTTTAAATTAATGATTTTTGTATTTTAAATAAATTTAAAAATACTTAATTATCCTATATTATATTTGTTACGAGATATTTTGTAGCTTGTCTAGTAATATCCTCCCGTCTTTTCTCATGTCTATTATATCAACATCAAGTTCATCAACTTCCCATGTACCAACAAAATACAGGAGCTTGTGCCTTGTTGAACAGGGATCCCCAATTCTTCGAAATGTGAAATACCCGTCTTCCTAGGTCACTGTGATTTGATTGAAATGAGACTTAGTCAATCCACGAGCTTCAATGCCCTTGATATTCATATTACTCCAACCAATCAAGCAAATTGGTGGCATGAATAAAGCTATTCACAAACACACAACTGATCTGAAACACGTACATTAGTTAATGTACATAAGTTTCTTTAGCTTGAGTTGTTGTGACCATCAATTAAAACAAAATGGGCATTCTTCCTGTTATGCTTGTTATTACCATAGTAATACTCTTATTCTCCTCTCAAATCTCCTCTGCAATTGATACCATTACCCTTTTTCAATCACTTCCTGATGGCAGAACCTTGGTGTCAAAAGATGGAATCTTTGAGTTGGGTTTCTTCAGTCCAAGTAGTTCAACAAACCGCTACGTTGGAATATGGTACAAAAATATCCCAGTTAGATCTGTTGTTTGGGTTGCAAACCGTGACACTCCAATCAAAGACAACTCCAGCATGTTAAACATAAGTAAAGAGGGAAACCTTGTCCTTCTCAGCCAGAACGGCACAGTTCATTGGTCAACAAACGCAACAAAAAAGGCCTTCAATGCCACAGCTCAGCTTTTAGATTCTGGCAACTTGGTTTTAAGAGATGAACATGACAACAATCCTGAAAGCTTCTTGTGGCAAAGCTTTGATTATCCGTCTGATACCTTGTTACCAGGAATGAAGCTTGGATGGAACCTAAAGACCAACCTTAATCGTCATCTAACAGCTTGGAAGAACAAGGAGGACCCTTCTATGGGAGATTTTACTTGGGGTTTCGTACGTAGCAGCAATCCTGAAATGGTGATGTGGAAGGGCTTAACTAAGTACTACAGAGGTGGCCCTTGGAATGGGATTCAATTCAGCGCTGCACCATCTTTGAAATATGACCCAATGTTCGATTTCAAGTTTGTGTACAATGAGGATGAGTTGTATTACACATTCAGCCTCAAGAATAAGTCTGTGGTTTCAATACTTGTCATGAACCAAACGACTTATGCTCGTGAGCGCTACACATGGATTGAAGAAGCTAAAACTTGGAGGATGTATTCATCTACGCCAAGAGACTATTGTGATAACTATAATCTTTGTGGCCCATTTGGAAATTGTGCCATGGGTGAGTCCCCTGTTTGCCAGTGTTTACGTGGATTCAATCCAAAATCACCTCAGGACTGGATCACAATGGACTGGACTCAAGGATGCGTGATAAGTGAAACTTGGAAGTGCAAGGAGAAAGATAAAGATGGTTTCCTCAAATTCATTAACATGAAGGTGCCAGACACTGACAAATCTTGGGTTAATGGAAGTATGACACTTGAGGAATGTAAAGCCAAATGCTGGGAAAACTGTTCTTGTACAGCCTTTGCAAACTCAGATATAAGAGGAGAAGGTATTGGGTGTGTCCTTTGGTTTGATGATCTATTAGATTTGAGAAGGCTTCCAGATGCTGGGCAAGACCTGTATGTTAGAGTGGCTACCTCTGAAATAGGTATGAGCTTCTATTTTCATGAAAGTTACAATTCTTCACAATATTTCTTTTTGCTCCAAGATAATCAACTTGTCAAGTCTTGTAATTTTTAAGTATTTAATTTAGTCATTAAAGTGAAATCAATTACTAATGAAGAATCAAAGACTTGTTATTGTTAGACTCATGTAAATTGGCATTTCCCCTTTTTGTTTTTTGTTTTTTTCTCCCGCATATAGTGACTATTTACTTTATTCTCTGTTAAGAAAATCAAGATGCGAAAGATGATTTAAAGAAAAAGGTGGTTGTGATCACAAGCACTGTTTCGTCTATTATTGTGATGCTTTTAATATTGACTTTCATTTACCGGAGGAGGAAAACAATTAAAGGTAACCGTTCAGAACTCAATTACCATTTCATGATTATTTTTATTCTCACTTCATTGGACTGTTTATATATTATTGGAATGGTCACATGAACACTCAAAATGAGGTTATCAATGATTCATAATTGTTTTTTCCTTTTAGAATTACAGGGAAGCAGTTTACCATTATTTCTTTTAGAATACACTGGGATCTTATAAGATATGTTGTTGCAAAATATTTAACAGAACAAACATAATCGTTCCACTCTGAAAAGAAAAAAGGCTAACCTTTTCAGAAATATTAAATTATGTATAAGAACACGTTCAGTTAAAAATGGGTTCCAATATAACGTGATAAATTTCCAATTAGAATAGTATAAAAGGCACATTTCTTAGCATGGGTTGGCAAATATTTTTTCTCATCTAGTTTATTTGAGAGTAAACAGAAAAACCCTGGGCAAGACAAAAGAATGATGAAAGCAAAGAAGAAGATTTTGACCTACCTCTATTCGACCTTGCTTCAATAGCACATACCACTGATGACTTCTCAAGTGACAAGAAGCTTGGCGAGGGGGGTTTTGGGCCTGTATATAGGGTAAGTATGCAATAGACCTGTGATTAATTAAAAAAGAAGAAGGACAAAGCATGACTCTTTTTCTTTAATCCATTTAAATGTAATGTTTTTAGGGAACACTGCCAGATGGACAAGAGATTGCTGTCAAGAGACTTTCACGAACATCAGGACAAGGATTGAAAGAATTTAAGAATGAGGTTATATTCTGTGCCAAGCTTCAACACCGGAATCTTGTTAAGGTCCTTGGTTGTTGCATTCAAGAAGATGAGAAATTACTCATATATGAATACATGTCCAACAAAAGCCTCGATTACTTCCTTTTTGGTTAGTGTCTCCACAAAAACCAATTGGTTAACTTAATACGGAATTCCATTTCTTTATTTTATAGCTATAAAATTTGACAGATTCTACTCGAAGTAATCTTCTCGACTGGTCCAAACGTTTGTACATTATAACTGGCATTGCTCGAGGGCTTCTTTATCTTCATCAAGACTCAAGATTAAGGATCATACATAGAGATCTTAAAGCCAGTAATGTTTTATTAGACAATGACATGAACCCGAAAATTTCTGATTTTGGCTTAGCTCGAATGTGTGGTGGTGATCAAATTGAAGGAAACACAAGCAGAGTTGTTGGTACATAGTAAGTATATATATTTGATCAAGCTAAAGTCTTATTACATGTTTATTAAATATCAAATTAACTCATATGGTGTTATTTACAGCGGTTATATGGCACCTGAATATGCCTTTGATGGGTTATTCTCCATCAAATCTGATGTATTTAGCTTCGGCATATTATTGCTAGAGATAATAAGCGGCAAGAAAAACAAAGGGCTTTCCTATCCAAACTATAATTGCAATCTTATTGGACATGTGAGTAACATAAATAACTTTAGTTTTTTTTTTTTTTCAAAATGTATTAGTAATTAACATCTAATTATTGTGAAATTTTTTAGGCATGGAAGTTGTGGAAAGAGGGCATCCCAATGAAATTGATTGATTCTTGTATGGTGGAGTCATGCATTCTATCTGAAGTCTTACGTTGCATTCATATTGGACTTTTGTGCGTGCAACATCGTCCAGACGATAGGCCAAACATGGCAAATGTGGTTGTGATGTTAAGCAGTGAGAGTACTTTGCCTCTACCAAAGGAGCCTGGTTTCTTAATGGAAAAGGGGCCAATTGATGGAGAATCGTCTTCTGAGAAGCATATATTTTCTTCTTCTAATGAGCTAACTATCTCAGTGTTGGACGCCAGATAGAAAAATTTATTTACTTCTTACATTGCATATATACTTATTTAATTAGTATCTGTTCCAAACTTAAAATGTCCTTTAATGATGCGTTACTTGTTGTGAAACATAATAAGCTTTTTTGTTTTCCTCTTCTGTTGAGTTTCCCTTGACACGTTATTGGAAGGTATATAATTTAAAATGTGTTAGCATGTTTTATAATCCAACACAAGAATTAAATGGATACTGGCCAGTATTACTTAGCTGACAGGAAAATACATATATATATATATATATGGAAGAGTTATATTTACAAACTTTTTGTTTACAAACTCTTAGAAACTACACTATGTACTACCGGGAGAACAATATATCACATTATGTTCTCCCGGGAGTACAAAGTGTAATTTGCAAAAATTTGTAAAAAAAATTTATAAACGGATCATTCTATATATATATATATATATATATATATATATATATAGGGGCAGGATATTCTTACACTGGTGTAAGAGTTAGAAATCTTACACTCAATCTTGACCATTAATCCACTTGTACCCAATGGCTCACATTACTAAAAAATTTGAGCCCTTACATATAAATGAGATCAGTGGACAAGATTAAGAGTGTAACTTACACTGGTGTAAAATGATCATAACCCATATATATATATATATATATATATATATATATATATATATATATATATATATATATATATATAGGACTTATCATTTCTTTAGCTGCTTGAGACAATGTTATTTCCGGTTACTAAATCATAACCGTACAAAGATGGATCAATGGTGATAAAGTAAGAGAGAAAAAAAGGGAATCATAACGATTCAAAGCTAAATCAATTAATATAAGGAAATAAATAAACAAAACGACGTAGTTTTGGGATGACCAGAGATAACATTGTCTCAAGCAACTTGAGAAATATTTTTCCCATATATATATAGATCATTTGACTCCAGAGTAAGTGACGTGCGTTGTCGAACCCACGCAAATTACCGAGCTTCAGGTTTGTAGTGATAGGGCAACTCAGATCGTCTCCTAAAGAACCTGCTTACAATCAGAAACGCTCTTGTAAAATAAAATATAAAAGGGAAGGGGGATTTTGTTGATTTGAATTTTAAATAAAAACAGATTTGAAAAAGACATGATTATCAGAATTTAAAAGCAATCAACCTAAGGAATCAGGATTCATTAATTTATTTCGTCATTGGATAAAAAGATATGATTATCAATTTGTGATTAACCCCAATCGAATTAGGAATCCTCAAATTCAATTAAAAACCCTCTCTAGACTATCGCCTAGCATTTGGTTGAATACAGTTTTTAAACTATGCAATCGCAGTAATTTAAACCTGTTTAACTTATGTTCATTGGGTTGGTTAATCTGACCATTGAATCTAATGATTAATTTTCCCTTGTAGAATGCAATCGCATTGTTGATAAACCTTTAGTTTATCTTATTTTATAGACTAAATTAATATAAAATATCAAGTTAAATAAGTCAAAAACTAGGGTTTAATATAATAATCATGAACATTATCTGAATTTTTGTTTAATGGAATCATCTTTGCTATTTTTTAGGGATTTGTTGACAAAAGGAGTCAAAGATGAAGATTGGATAAATAGAGATCACAACTAGAAAAGATAAGATCAAGAGATGATAGAAGAAGATCAAAAACAATAAGATTGAGGATCTTATCAAGTTGTTAGAAGTGGGAGCTTAAGCCCCCATTCAGAAGCTTAAGCTCCCTAAAAACGCAAATAGCTACTGCCTCTGGGCGCTTAAGCCCCCAACTCAGGGCTTAAGCGCGCCACAAGAAGAAAAAGTTGTCGCGAGGAGCGCGCTTAAGCGCCCTTCAGAGCGCTTCAGCGCGCAACGCGAATCAGAATTCACTGTCCTAGGGCGCTTAAGCGCGCTACAACAGGCTTAAGTGCCCAGACAGATCCAACTTAGGCCCATTCGAGTTTTCTACTAGGATACAAACTCTTGGCCAATAAAAGGGCCATTGGAGACCAGAAATAAATAACTTTTACATTGCTAAACAACTCTTGGGTGCTTGGAGGCTGAAGGAACGCGGAGAAACATCAGATTCATGTTCGTGAGCGGCGGAGACGGATCAACGTCAAGTGTTCACTGGAGATATTGAAGATCCACCAATCACTTATGGAGTTTGGGGGAGCTTTTCTATTTTCTTTTGTTCTTGATTTTTCTATGTCCGGCTAGTTCTTTAAGTAGTTAGGGTTAAATGGATTTTAGTCAATTTATTATGTTTTGAACAATTCGCTGTGTTAATTTTCCTTTATATCATGAATGAAGTTATCTGTTTTTAATGCTTTATATAGGCTTGAATCTTATATAATGATCATCGGTGAATGCATGACAATAGGAATGTTGGTGTGTGATCCATATCTGATAACTTCATCGTAAACGTTATGATTCTAGGGATAGACATAGGGTTTGCGTAATCTTTAAGATTCTTGAATTTAATGCTTGCATGCTTGGGGAATAACCGGGGAACTAAGGTTCTTCCAATATTGTAAAGGTTTTAGAGTAACAAGGGATTGAGCTCTAATAACATGCGAAAGAATTGATTAGATTGATACTAAGGACAATTAACATTAAGAAGGAATTCAAACGTAATAAGGAGATTAAATGAAATCGAACCCCTAGCTACGTTTTTATTTTATTAGTTAAATCACATCTTTAATTTCTTGTCTTTAATTCTTGCAAGTAATTAGCTTAATATTTAATATTTTAATTTTGCAATTCAAATCCTGTTTCCAAATACACTTTCGATTGTCCAACTAAGTTTGCGATAGTGAATTAGTGCTTGAACCGTAATCCTCGTGGGAACGATCTCTTACTTAATCATATATTACTTGTACGATCGGTGCACTTGCCGTGAGTAGCAACAAGTTTTTGGCGCCGTTGCCGGGGATTACTATTTCAACATTAATAGTAGCTATTAATTCTTTAGATTGGACCTTATTTTCTGTTATTTAATTTTCTGTTATTTAAATTCAGTTTTATTTTCTTATTTTATATAATCTATTTTTCTGGTTTATGCGAGGTACCGTTGACACCGATTCCTTGCAATTCGACCCGGAGATAGAGAAAACAGCAAAAAGAAACAGAAAACTTGCTAAAGAAAGAAGACAGCAAGAGAAAGAAGCTTCAAGCTCAACAGAACCAAAAGAAGAAGCAATGGGAGACAACAATGTACCTCCACCACCTCCGAGAACATTAGGAGATTACATGTCTCCTGCTCGAGTTCCACAGACGACGAGCATTGTTAGACCAAACGTGGATGCTAACAATTTTGAACTCAAGCCTGCGTTATTGCAACTGATTCAGAAAGATCAATTTGCCGGAGGAAGCACGGAAGACCCTTACATCCATCTAGAAAACTTCTTGCTATACTGTGATACCTTGAAGATGAATGGGGTGTCTCGGGATGCTATTTTGCTCAGATTGTTCCCCTGTTCACTTAAAGACGAAGCAAGAGGATGGTTGCAATCGTTACCTCAAGGAAGCATCACTCACTGGGATGACTTGGCAACCAAATTCTTAGACAAATTTTTCTCATCTTCGAAAATGGCAAAGCTCAAGGCGGATATCACTTCTTTTGAACAAAAAGAAAGTGAATCTCTATATGAAGCATGGGAAAGATTCAAAGGACTACTCAGGAAGTGTCCCCAACATGGCATTGAAGCCTGGGAACAAGCGAGAACTTTCTTCCAAGGGATGAAGCCGAACACAAGAACATTGGTGAATGCTGCATCAGGAGGGTCCTTAAAAACAAAAACTCCAGAGGAAGCCTTGGAATTACTAGAGTCTCTAGCCTCTCAGGAGTATGATAATGCTCCAGTACCACAGAGAAGAGCGGGGATTATGAAGCTTGATGGCTATGATGCCATCTTAGCTCAGAATGAACAGATTTTACAAATTAACAAGAAACAACAAGAACAACTAGATGCTCTCACAAAGCAATTTACCAGTTCTCAAGTCTCTTCTGTTAATAATATTCAAATAACTTGTGGTATTTGTGCAGGTGCTCACGCTACTGAAGATTGCAAGGCACCCGAAACTGCAGATGTTAATGGAATTTGGCATGATCAGAAAGTTCCATATAATCCAGGGAGGAACCAATACGGCAATAACCAGAATCAAGGGTGGAGAAATAAAAATCAACATCCAGGATTCAGTTATAGCTCGAATCATCAGCTAAATCCTCCTATGCCAGCACCACAGCAACCTCCACAACAATCAGAGTGGGAGAAGGCCTTTGCACAACTATCCAAAACCACATCAGACTATGTTCAAAGTACCAATGCATTCAGGGAAGACACTTCAGCCTTTATGCAAGAAACCAGGGCCTCATTCAGGAATCAAGAAGCCTCAATCCGGAATCTAGAAACTCAGATTGGTCAATTGTCAAGGCAGTTCAACGAAAGAACCCAAGGCACCTTCCCAAGTAATACAGACGTTAATCCAAACGCACACTGCAAGGCCATTACCACTAGAAGTGGCATTGTAATTGAACCTGTGATTAAGCCTTCAGTAGAGAAAAAGAAAGCTGAGGGATCTGCCATTGAAGAAGAAAAAGAGAAGGAAGTTGACAAAGAGCCTGCTGCAGAGAAAGCTGTTCCTGAAAAGAAAGAGTTCAAATGGGAGAAAAAGAAAGCTCAAGAAAGACAAGAAAAGCCATTGGAGCTCTCACCTTATGCAAAAATTCCATATCCGCAGAGGTTCAGAGAGGAAATCAAAAAGCAGCAGTATTCGAAGTTCCTTGACATCTTCAAAAAGCTACAAATCAATATTCCATTTGCTGAAGCCTTGGAGAACATGCCGAATTACGCAAAGTTCATGAAAGATCTCTTATCGAAGAAACGTAAACTGAAAGAATGTGAAACGGTGACGTTGACGGAAGAGTGTAGTGCTATAATTCAGAAAAAGTTGCCTCCAAAACTTGAAGATCCTGGAAGTTTCAGCATTCCCATAGAAATTGGCAACATTGATGTGGGAAAGGCGTTATGTGACTTGGGAGCTAGTATTAACCTTATGCCATTATCCATCTGCAAGGCTCTGGGGATTCATGAATTAAAGCCGACCAAAGTTTCACTGCAGCTAGCAGACAGATCTACCAGAAGGCCAGATGGAGTTATTGAAGATGTCTTGGTGAAGATTGATAAGTTCATATTCCCTGCAGACTTTGTCATCTTAGACATGCAAGAGGATGCTGAAATTCCCTTACTGTTGGGAAGGCCCTTTTTAGCCACTGCAAGGGCTATGATTGATGTGGAGCAGGGTAAGCTGATGTTGCGGGTTAATGATGAAACCGTAACGATTGATGTTCTTGAATCTATGAAACATCCTTCCGACGGAGGAGATTGCTTCAAGATTGATGTGATCAATGATGCAGTGCTAGATACAGTTGATGAAATACTCCAACCACTGATGGAATTGGAGTCATTAGAAGAAGATCTACTGCACAATACGACTGAAGCAACAGAAGGAGAACAAGAGGTTGAAAAGCTAGAAGAGAAAGTTGATGATATCATTCCAGGTGCACCAAAGGTTGAATTGAAAGAACTTCCTCCCACTTTGAAATATGCATTTCTTGGAGAAAGCAAGACATACCCGGTGATCATCAACATAAATTTATCAACCGCCGAAGAAGAAAAATTATTGAAAGTGTTGAGAGAGCACAGAACAGCTATAGGATGGTCTATTACAGACTTGAAAGGAATAAACCCATCTTTTTGCACTCATAAAATATTGATGGAGAATGAGGTGAAGCCAGTCAGACAACCACAGAGAAGATTGAATCCAACTATGAAAGAAGTTGTGAGAAAAGAAGTCGTGAAGCTCTTGGATGCTGGTATGATCTATCCAATCTCTGATAGTGCATGGGTGAGTCCGGTACAAACAGTTCCAAAGAAAGGTGGGATCACAGTGGTACGTAATGAAAACAATGAGTTGATTCCTACAAGAACTATTACCGGCTGGAGAATGTGCGTCGACTACAGGAGACTTAATGCCGCTACAAGAAAAGATCATTTCCCTCTACCATTCTTAGATCAAATGTTGGAGAGGCTAGCGGGACATTCATTTTATTGTTTCCTTGACGGCTATTCCGGATACAATCAGATAGCGGTTGCTCCAGAAGATCAAGAGAAGACAGCCTTCACCTGTCCCTACGGTGTGTTTGCCTACAGACGTATGCCCTTCGGGTTATGCAATGCACCCGCCACTTTTCAAAGGTGTATGCTATCCATATTTTCTGATATGATTGAAAATTTTATTGAAATATTTATGGATGATTTTTCTGTCTTCGGTTCATCTTTTGATGTTTGCCTCACTAACTTAGCTTGTGTTTTGCAGAGATGCCAAGAGAGTAATTTAGTACTCAACTGGGAAAAATGCCACTTTATGGTAAGAGATGGAATAGTCTTAGGCCATAAAATCTCAGAGAAGGGGATTGAAGTTGATAGAGCAAAGATCTCACTTATAGAAAAACTTCCCCCTCCCTCTAATGTGCGTGGTGTGCGTAGCTTTCTTGGACATGCAGGTTTCTATCGGCGTTTCATCAGAGATTTCTCAAAGATAGCCAAACCCCTCTGCAAATTATTGGCCAAAGAAGAAGAGTTCAACTTTGACAATGATTGTTTGATTTCTTTTAATCTTTTGAAAGAAAAATTGACTACCGCACCTATTATCACTTCACCGAATTTTGAATTACCTTTTGAATTAATGTGTGATGCTAGTGATTATGCTATAGGTGCAGTCTTAGGTCAAAGAAAAGATAAACTCTTGCATGTTATATATTATGCTAGTAAAATTCTAAATGAAGCACAATTAAATTACACTACTACTGAGAAAGAATTACTAGCTGTTATATATGCTTTTGATAAATTTAGAACCTATTTGCTAGGATCTAAAGTTATTGTGTATACTGACCATGCTGCCTTGAAATACTTATTGACTAAACAGGATGCTAAGCCGAGACTACTTAGGTGGATGCTTCTACTTCAAGAATTTGAGATAGAAATCAAAGATAAAAAGGGAGTAGAGAACCGGGTAGCTGATCATCTCTCTAGACTTCAAGAGAAAGAACTTCAAGATAGTTCAGAATTGATAATCCGAGATGAGTTTCCAGATGAGCAAGTTCTCTCAGTCAGCACACTGCCATGGTTTATGAATGAGCAAGCTCTTGCAGTAGACACCGCACCATGGTTTGCAGACTTTGCAAATTTCAAAGCAGCTGGGACAAATTCCTAAAGATTTTTCATGGCAACAACGGAAAAAGTTTCTCCGCGATGTGAAAAGATACTTGTGGGATGAACCATTCCTATTCTACACATGTTCTGACGGAGTCATTAGAAGATGCATCCCTGAAGAAGAGATGAAAGATGTTCTATGGCACTGTCACGGTTCAGAATACGGAGGCCACTTCGCGGGAGAAAGGACGGCTGCAAAGGTTCTTATGAGCGGATTCTATTGGCCCACTCTATATAAAGATGCCAGAAAATTCGTGGAATCTTGTGATCGTTGCCAAAGAACGGGGAACATATCAAAAAGACATGAAATGCCACTAAACAACATCATGGAAGTTGAAATCTTCGACGTTTGGGGCATTGACTTCATGGGGCCTTTCCCCACTTCATACGGGAATAAATATATATTGGTGGCGGTGGATTACGTCTCTAAATGGGTGGAAGCGGTTGCTTTGCCTACCAATGATTCTAGAGTCGTGATCAACTTCATTAAGAAAAACATCTTTGTGAGGTATGGAGTACCAAGAGCAATGATCAGCGACGGAGGCACACATTTCTGCAACAGACAAGTTGAATATGTGCTCGCAAAATACAGTGTCAGACACCGCATTGCCACACCATATCATCCACAAACCAGTGGGCAAGTGGAAATATCAAACCGGGAACTAAAGCGTATCCTTGAGAAAACAGTAGGAAGCTCCCGGAAAGATTGGGCCCGCAAGCTAGATGATGCACTATGGGCATACCGGACCGCTTTCAAGACACCCATTGGCATGTCTCCGTTTCAAATGTTGTTCGGGAAAGCTTGTCACTTGCCGGTAGAGATGGAACACAAGGCTTTGTGGGCTGTCAAGTTCTTAAACTTTGATACAAAAGCGGCAAGTGAAAAGAGGTTGTTACAACTGGATGAGTTAGACGAATTCAGATTATCAGCGTATGAAAGTGCCAGCCTCTACAAAGAGAAAACCAAGAAGTGGCATGACAGAAAAATATTGGGCAGAGACTTCAAGGTTGGACAACAAGTTCTGCTGTTTAATTCACGGTTGAGACTCTTTCCGGGAAAGCTCAAGTCTAGATGGTCAGGACCGTTTCTGGTGAAAGAAATACGTCCTTATGGTACAGTGGAAATCAGTCCACTGGATTCTGACAGAAGCTTCAAGGTGAATGGGCAGCGATTGAAGCCATACCTCGGAGGAGAAATTGACAGAGGAACGGCTACCGTTGCTCTGGCAGAAACGTAAAGGAGGTACGTCAAGCTCGTGACGTAAAACAAGCGCTTATGGGAGGCAACCCAGTATTTAAGCTTCAGTATTTTAAATTGATTAGTTTAGTTTCAATTTCAGTTTTTAGTTTAGGTAAGTTTAACATTTAGTCTTATGTTGAGATGAACGTACAGGTCTAAGTGGGAATAAAGCATACACAGGTACGCAAGTCTTAATCGTTGTGTATGATATATGCATAAGGGTGTAGTTGAGGTAAGGAAAAGATAGAGGAAAGAAGAAAAATATCTAAAGTATAAAGAGTCTTAAGCCCCAAAAATGATAAATCCTATCGGCCTCAGCGCGCTAAAGCTCCATGTATCGCGCTTAAGCGCGCTCCACGATTAGAAAAACATTTGGTTCTGCCTATCCGCGCTTAAGCGCAGGAGAGGAGGCTTAAGCGCGCTCCTCGAGCTTCAAAATCCAATCCCAGGGCGCGCTTAAGCCCTCAAATGGAGGCTTAAGCGCGATAATTGAAGAAAAATAAGCCATTTGCCACTGCCTCTCCGCGCTTAAGCGCAGGTGAGGAGGCTTAAGCGCGCTAAACAATTAAAAAAGGCCATTTGGTTCTGCCCCTACGCGCTTAAGCGCAGGAGATAAGGCTTAAGCGCGCTCCTCGAGCCTATAAACCCATACCCAGGGCGCGCTTAAGCCCTCAATGGAGGCTTAAGCGCGAAAACAAGAAAAAATAAGCCATTTGCCACTGCCTCTCCGCGCCTAAGCGCGAGAGAAGGAGGCTTAAGCGCGGCTCAACCTGGAAAAGCCCAAGTCGGGGAGGGCGCTTAAGCGCCCGTAATCGCGCTTAAGCGCTACCCTATCAGCCCAGTTTTTAAAAGCCCAACCCTTTCTCCCCCTCCCTCACACTTACACTCCCGCACAAGAACGCCCCCCATTTTCATCAAGAACGCCGATAACCCCCCTCTCACACTTACAACCTCACCACCGGACCACCACGGTCTCCGGTCAATACCATCATCATCCCTCCGGTCACCATCCACGAGTAATTTTCCCACAACCTGATATTTTACACGAAACCGTAAGGTATGAATTTCAAACCTTATTTCTTTAAACATGAGTTCATAGGATACAATGGGTATGGTTTATGTTCATCATCCATTCTCTTTATGATTTAGAAGTTTCGTTTCAAATTTTGATTCTTTGAACTTCTCAGCCTAAATCATGCAGGAGAAAAAGAATGCATTTTGATTGTCAAAAAAAAAAATAAAAATAAATAAAATTAGGACCTCTCGATTTAAGAAAATGTCCAAATTAAGGGTTCTTTAACCAAATTTAGGGTCCCTCAACCCAGAGGATATTTCAGTGATCAGTTATGAGATGTTACTCATGTTGTTATCGATCAATTGGTTGGTTTGTCTTGAATTCGGTTTCTGAAACTCACCATTGACTTTAGGAAAAGAATGGAAACCACATGCATGCCTGATGTTCGATAAAATGCCCGTATGAAATTAGGCTCTTAAATTTTAGACTTAAGAAGGCATCATATTGATACATTTAAAGGATCTTGATTTAGATGGAGGCTGAACTTAATCAATATCCCAATATGCAATGATCAAATTGAATAAAATTCTGCATAACACACTACACTTCGATTGGGAATAACAAGAGAATGGTGAAAATAAAGGAATGAATACTGTGTGGTGATGGGAAACTTGCAATCCATGAGCATTTGTTATTGCACTCTAGTAATAACTCCCCTTGACATGTACACTGATATAGGAATAGCATATGTTGATTGTGATGAGTTGCTATTCGAATATGTGCAATTGATCCTAATTAAGTTGAATACATTCATCACTTTTATATTCATATTCTAATATAGGAATGACTTATCCTGCAGACCTAATTCATAGTTACACACATGAATTTGATTTGAGAATAAACCAGAGTTTGCACTAAGGCAAATCTGGAAATTCCAGTTTTGGACAGCATAAAAGAAGATCACCATTTTGTGTCTCAATCTGTTAATTAGGATTGATTGGAACCACCTTGCAGACTTCTAATAGTATTGCTTGCTTCCACACTGTTTGATATGAGTTGGAATGAGTAACTGCCACACATTAAGCATATCTACTGCCACAGAATCTCCACATGCATATGTGCATCCTCAAGTGCAAATAATTATAATTCCAGTTCTGATTCCTTAGTTGCTCATAAATTTCAGAATATATCTGACTCAAATCTGGGAATTGTTTATCAGAAGTTAAACTAATTGGGAAACTTTTCTGAATTTCAGGTATGGCTCCGAAAGATAAGACTTTGGGAAAAAGGGTCCGAAAGACCAAAGCCCCCGGAGGTGCATCTAGCTCCACACCCCCTCCGGTATTTGACTTCCACAGGTTTAGGACAGCTGAACATGAAGAGAGATACAACAAGAAAGTGGCTGCCAAACCCATAATCAGGGAGAGGAAGATGCTCCTCCAGCAAGGGGAATATCCGGACATTTACAACAATTTGGTCCGAAGAAGATGGAAGTCTTATTCCAACTTCCTTACCGACAGCTCAGGCACAATTTGTAGAGAATTTTATGCAAACGCCTACAACTTTGATCAGGGAGCCCGCCGCGTATACATCAGCTATGTTAGAGGCAAGGAGATAGCCTATGATTCTAACACCTTACAGGATCTGCTCAAGACAGCCCATCACAAACCAGGAACAAGATGTGAGTACAGACAGTTACTCGATAAAGTTGAGTATGGACCTGCTAGAAGTGACCCAGCGTCTGATACTTGGGACCCTATAGAAGAAGCTGCACCTATTTTGGATACCATTGCCCTTCCAGGAGAAAACTGGGAGATGATGAAAAACAACATTCGTCCAAAATTGTTGCATCTTAACCAGCTCAAGCCAGTGGCCAAAGTATGGTTCCAGTTCATCATTAATAACATCTTGCCCACCACCCACACATCTGAGGTGCAGGTAAAGAGAGCAGCACTTATACACACCATCATGACTGGGGGCACAGTTGATCTTCCGACAATCGTAGCAGATGGTATCTACGACTTTGCACACCAGACATCTGCAAAAGCTGCCATTGCACACAGCTCTCTCATCCAGACCCTGTGTCATCGGGTCGGAGTAGAGATACCCACTGAGCCCAGGCTAGTGGAAGTGTGCCCCCCTATTGATGCTGCTCTCATCCGAACAACCATGGGTGTCCCATCTACTCCCCCATCATCTCCAGCACCTCCAGTACCACCAGCAGCACCAGCCCGACGGGCACGACAGCCAGATATCCCTGCTATATGGGAGGCAGTGCAGTCACTGCAGCGTCAGCAGGGATCTATGCAGAGGAGAGCTAGATACTCTCAGAGCAGACAGATGGCTTTTCAGGATTATATGAGTGCACAGATGGTCGAGCTATGTCGCCAGCAGGACAGACAGGCATCACCATTCGCATATCCAGCATATGCTGGATCTGATGAGGAGGCCCCAGGCCCGACCACTGCTGAGGATGCCACTGCTGCTAACACTGAGACGGCTGCTGTTGAGGATGATACAATCTACATTGATGATGCCACTGCTGTTGAGGATGATACAGTCCGCATTGATGATGCCACTACTGCTGAGGCCGACCAGGAGGATGCAGGAGATGACGACACACCCACCACTGATATGGAGGAGGACTGATCCTCACATCAGTTTATCTGTTTTCAGACTTTTATTTTTTTTAATTATTATTTTGCTGTTTTTACTATTAGTCTAGTGCATGTAGACATGGAGGTATATTGAGACTGACCTGACATGACTGATATTGTTTTGGATAGATGACATGCTGACGTAGTTTCTTTATCTGTGACATGTGTGCAGAGTACATTACCATTTTTTTCTGATATCTTGCTTAGGATTCTTTTGAGATTTAAATTTATTGCTGAGGACAGCAAGATTTAAATCTGGGAATGGGTACCAACGCAATTTATCAGACCATAAACTTCACATGGTCGGAAGGAGAAACTCATGATTACACGGAGTACACAGAAATATCCAAATTACAAATGCAGTGTTTCAAGGGAGTTTCTTAATATTATTTTCATATTATAGTTCATTATTTTTATATTATTTAGTATTAGTTTATTTTAGAATTATTTTGATTTAGTATTAGTTTATTTTAAGGTCTTCATATATATTAGTCAGTTAATATTTAAGTTTTTTTTATTAAGACCCCTTCCATCTTAGTCAATAAATAAATAATTAAGTGGATCTTTAGAGGTTTTCCATTGTGCTTGATATGGATGCATAATGAATAATTACATGAAATTGGTTGATAGTTGATATCAAGAGTATAAAGATGTAGATAAATTTTATTTTCGTACGTAAATGAGCGTCAGTCAAGCATGCTTCATAGTTCACTGGAATAAGAGAAGAATAACTAGAGTAATCAAAGAGAGAGTGGAAATAAGTCTCACATCCTTCGCCGTAAGCTTTTGAGCCTAAACAGAATTTTTTTTGTGGTGTGAACTTCTCTGTATGAATCACTCTAGAACTTGTTTTGTTTCTCTTTGAAATGGTCTGTAGTATACAATTGTTGAAATGATAGAGGCAGTTCTTTCTGAAAGCTAGATAGCCAAATAGCCACCCTGATGTTCATCCTTAGTTGAAGCCCCTTTGAGCCTAGGCCTATTTATTCATTGACAGCTTATTGTGAATAGCCATTTTATACACATCCTCACCTGAACTGATTAAATTTCAAATTTAAATGAGGGACTAGATATGATTGAAACAAAAAGAGAAAATCAAACTCTAAGTGTATGGGAGAAAAAGGTGAAAAGAGGAAAAAGCCAAAAAGTGGTGGAAAAGAAAAGCAAAGAAAAAGGTTGAAATGTGTATCTGTACAAAAACAGAAAAACAAAAACAAAAGGAAAAGGGAAAAGAAATAAAAGACTCATATTATATGAATAAGTGGAAGAAGAAAAGAGAAGAAAAATAAGAGAAATCTGTTTACTATACGTTGAACAGTTAAACTA